AATTTGAATATGTGTATGTGCATGTACACACACAAGTGAAATTTTTAAAGTACATTATTCAATTTTATTATTTATAATTTCTGTACTAGTAAGAGGAACCTAGCTAAAAACATAAATTCTCAAATCAAAGACAACACGGTAACTGTGTCCAGGGCTCTTTGTGTTTTAAGTAAGTAGCAGAAATCCAACTTAAAAAAAAAAAAAGAAAGAAAAAGAAATCCAACCAAAAAATTAGCATAAGCAAAAAAAGGGATTTATTCCCTTTCACACAGGCCCAGGGCAGTGATCATCAGGTATCTGTCTGTATCTCTGCTTTCTGCTTTCCTGTATTTCTCTTTTTATTTTGGGCTTGATTCTCTCTTATTCTCCCTCTTGATGGCATGACAGTTCCTTGAAACATGCTTTTCTGGGCTGTGCTCCCTCCCTTGGCCCCAACATGCTTTTCTGGGCTGTGCTCCCTCCCTTGGCCCCTGGCATGTTCCTCCTTCCCCTGGCTTCACATAACAAAGTCCTTGGGAAGAGCATTGACTTCAGTCTGAGTCACTTGCCCACCCTGACTAGTCCCCGTGAGCAGGAATGATGGAGTCCTGTGATGAGTCAGGCCTGGGTCACAGACTCACACCTTTGGAGAGACGGGAGGTATAGCGGGTGGTAGAGAGTGCAAGCACAATCACAGGGCTTGAGTGAGTGGGGAACACTTCCCCAGAGACGTGGTGGCACAAGGGGGAGCAGTTCAGTCTAAAGAAGAAAAAGATACCAGGTAGACAAAAACAACACGTGTCCACTGGAGGGCTTTGCTTCAAATATAAGCCAAGTTTGCATCTTTAATATGAAAGGAATTAAGTAGTGGAGGAAGTGGATTTGAGTCAAGCAGTAAGTACCCTACGTTTAGGGCAGGGAAAGTAAACATTTGTCCGATATCCCCAAGATTTATAATAGATAATTATTTATGCGTAGAGTCTTACCCCAGATGTTTCACAAAAGGATTAACGCCTGTTATGTGATGAATAAGGAATATCAACTTCATATATTTGAACATGTATTTTTTCCAGGAAAAGAAAACCTTTTGTATTTTCCCCAGCTTTACTGAAATGTAATTGACTCTTAACACTGTGTAAGTTTAAGGTGTACGACATGATTTGCTGTCTGAATGTATTGTAAAATGTTTGCCACAATGACGTTAGTTAACACATCCATCATCATCTCAAGTAATCACACGTATTTATTTTTGAGGCAATTTCAGTGTGCCAGATTCTTTCCCCTGTCCCTGCTGAGACAGACTTTTAGGAGTTGCTCTCATCAAGGAATGCGTGCACCAGATGCGCTCATATTAGAGATTCCATCCATTTTAATATTGACTTACAGTAGTGCCTGGATATTTACATGATTAATAAGTGACATTTCTATTTTGTAAAAAAAAAAAAAAAAGGAATTATAGACCAGAGAGGAAAAGATGATAAGTTGATCCAAAATATCTACTGACAGAAAAATTCGGGCTATAAAAAATACCTAAAATATTTAGCCAGAGATTTCTTTTCCCTCCTCTTCCCTCCCCTTCTTTTATTTTTTACTGTAATATATAACACTTTAAAAAAATGTTTTACTGTGGTAGATAACACAGAAAAACGTATCGCCCAATGGTGTATCACAAACCCAACCCTCCTGAGTACCGTCCAGGTCAGGCAGCAGGGTGCTGTCAGCCTGTCAGCTGGTGCCCTCCCCACACTGCTTGCTCCACCCCCACAAAGTCCTCAGCGATCCCAACTTTTATGTTACTAACTTCCTGGCTTTTCATCTTAGCTTCACCACCAAAACTCGCATCTGCACAGCTTAGATTTGCCTGGTTTTTGAGCTTTCCAGAAGTGGAATCATTTATGTTACTAACTTCCTGGCTTTTCATCTTAGTTTCACCACCAAAACTCGCATCTGCACAGCTTAGATTTGCCTGGTTTTTGAGCTTTCCAGAAGTGGAATCATTGACTATGTGCTCTTTTGGGTCTTGCTTCATTGACTCCACATTACAGTTGTTGTCCACAGCTTTTGTCAGGTGTGAAGGCAGGGTGGGAACGCACAGCTTTTTGATAACTCTGACTCAACGGCAACCCTATGAAGTTACAGATTTTAGGTTATTAATTGAATCCTTTGAGGGACCTTAAGCATCACAATGAGACAGATGAAGTATTTATTTTTTAAGAACTCTTGCAGTTGGTACCCTGCCTTCCTAAGAGGAACGATCACCATGCTGTTTCATGGCATTCCAGGAAGAAACACTTGTGCTGGCTGCATTTCTAGGGCTGCACCAGAGCTCAAGGCTGTCAGCCAGTCCTGCCCAGAAGTGCCTCTCTCACAGGCAGGACTTGAAGTATTTCAAGCTGGTGGGGTGGGTTTGCTGGCTTAGTCTTAGAATTAAAGTAGGTGTCTTTTTTTTCTTTTAAGATTTATTTATTGTAGAGAGAGGGAGAGCATTCATGCGAGTGTGTGCACATGGGGGGAGGGACAGAGGGAAGGAATCTCGAGCAGACTCCCCGCTGAGCATACAGCTCAACTTAGGGCTCAATCCCACAACCCCAGGGTCACGACCTGAGCCGAAGACAAGGAGTGGATGCCTAACCGACTGAGCCGCCCAGGTGCCCCTACACATAAGCCTTTTGCTGGTGTTTCTAGATGCATATTCTAGCTTTCAATGCTTCTGATATAATTTTGCTTATTTATCTTCACTGAATATTTTACTGTCTCTTTTCCGGATGTCTTTATGTATATGTTTACATACTGTCTTTTCCTTTTTTACACACCTTCACATACACCAGTCCTTTTGATGGTAGTAGAGGCAATCGCTGCTGTGAATTCTGCCCTTACCATCAGTTTCAGTATACCTGGATTTGAGAAGGCATTAAGACTGAGTGGGAGGGTAGAGAGAGAAAAGAACAGAATATTCCGTTTGGATGGGTCTTCAGTCTGCGCGTGGTGACCAGGAGGCCTGATGAGTGGGAGCTGTCCAGGAAGTGGATCTGCAGTAACCTGCCCAGGGCCCGGGTCCGTTCGGTGAGAGTGAAGACTGGGAATGGTGGCAGGGATAGAACACCTTCTTGGTCCATGACTCCCCTCCTGGAGGTAGATGTTCACCCACAGGAGAATAAGGAGCCAGCTTTGTAGGATTGTGGGCAAGATACAGTCACATTTTGTGACCATATGGGCGCATGTTTCATGAACAGGATCAGGAATGAAGAAAACATTCAGGGCACATGGAAGGAAAAGGCACAGAAGAGTGGATGTCTGTGTCTGTGTATACTTTCTGTGTGTGTGTAAGAGTGCATATACAGAAATTGACCTTATGATAGCAGTTCTGAAATACATGCATTCATATATAATAAACTCTATTTTTTTAAGATTTTATTTATTTATTTGACACAGAGAGCACAAGTAGGCAGAGCGGCAGGCAGAGGGTGAGGGAGAAGCAGACTCTCTGCTCAGCAGGGAGCCCAATGCGGGGCTCGATCCCAGGACCCCGGGATCATGACCTGAACCGAAGGCAGACGCTTAATGACTGAGCCACCCAGGCGCCCCAGTAAACTCTATTTAAAAAAACCCTATCTGGGGGCACCTGCATCGGGCTCCCTGCTCAACGGGGAGTCTGCTTTTCCCTCTCCCTCTCCCTGCTGCTCCCCCTGCTTGTGCTTGCTCTCTCTCTCTCTGTCAAATAAAAAATAAATAAAACTTCAAAAAATGAAATAAAGTAAACCCTATTTATATGTTTTTGTTGGCACTAGAGATTCTATTTATTGATTAACTTCCTTTTCCCACCAGGAATGTCTTGCAACTGTTATCCATTATGCATTCTTGTATTATATGAAGTCAATTAAAAAATTAGCAGAGTCACAAAAAGGAAGGTAATATGTATTCACAAGCCAACTATTCATAATTTCATGTATTTCAAGTTGAGCCACCCACCGCCTCTTCCCTGTTACGCAGGACGACCCACAGCAAAGTTGATCCCAGCATAGTTTTGCTCTACTTCTCAGAACTGCCGTGGCAACCTTCTACTACAGTGCTTGGGGGGTGTGCTCAGAAATTCAAATACATTTTGATATTTTCCCAAGCAAAACATAATTTAAGACAAATCTTTTACCAAAAAGTCACATACATCAAAGCCAAATACAGATGATGTGGAGATATCCCATACTGCTGCCCCCTTCATTAGTACTAATAATTGGGGGCTGACCGTGCCCATGGAATCAACCCTCAGCCTTTGGTCCAAAGCCAGTGACAGCACCTGAGGACCAACAGTAAGCACTGTTGACTGTATTATGCTTTCTGTTCACTACAGAGAGAGTTTACAGGAAATGAAGTAGGCAAGTAGGTGAACATCGAGTGCTTCTTCCTGATAGCTACGCATGCGCGATTCTTTGTGCTTGGAGATGTGATGTGACTGTGCATGTGTTGTGTGTGTTTAGTTCTCTTTTTTGAGAGTTAGACTTGGCTGTCAGGTGTCATTTGCTTCATTCTTCCTTAAGTGAATTTATCCTTAAGATTTCCTTCTTTTGTATATTCCTAAGTACTGTTGAGGGCATTTAGATAACTGGTATTTATACTGTTGATAATCTGAATTAATCAGTCTATATTGAATGGAATTTGATTGCAAATGTATCTGTTTCTGATACGTGACCCATTTCATTTTCAGAGAGGCCAGAATTTGTTATTAGTCTTAGAAAATCTCTATATTTTGTCATAGTCATGGTGCTCTAGAATGTGTTTACACCAGTAGGAATCTTAATTCCTCCTTCACTATCGTGTTTGTGGATTGAGAAAGCTAAGCATGGAGACAACACTTCCCTGTCCCGGGGCTCTAACCTTTAAACCTATTGCTTCTAACGACTGGAGCTCAGAAAATTCCATGAAGCACATTTCAGTGAACTGTTCACTACATTAGAATCTGTTTTTTCCTTTGCAGACCCTTCATGTGGCCTTTTAAAATATGTGTTTGAGACAGAGTGAATGTAGAAGCTGAAAATGCCTGGAAGATTTCTGGTTTCTGTTACTACCTGTCCTGCCTTTTTGCATCACCACCTGATTTGGATGATGTGATATTCAGAGGGACGCCTTAATTGAAGTCATTCTTCAGTGAGTCGCCTCTGGCGGGAGGTCGTAGACTTGATTCAAGATGGCCAGTCAGCCACCAGACAACACAGCAGAGGCTCAGGTCTCTGACGAGCTCGAGTGTAAGATCTGTTACAATCGGTACAATCTGAAGCAGAGGAAACCCAAAGTGCTGGAGTGTTGTCACAGGGTTTGTGCCAAATGCCTCTACAAGATCATCGACTTTGGGGACTCCCCGCAAGGCGTCATTGTCTGTCCTTTCTGTAGGTTTGAGACCTGCCTGCCAGATGATGAAGTTAGTAGCCTGCCCGATGACAACAACATCCTGGTAAACTTGACTTGTGGAGGCAAAGGCAAGAAGTGCCTGCCCGAAAACCCTACCGAGCTGCTGCTGACCCCCAAGAGGCTGGCGTCTCTCGTCAGTCCTTCTCACACTTCCTCCAACTGCCTGGTCATAACCATCATGGAGGTGCAGAGGGAGAGCTCCCCGTCTCTGAGCTCCACTCCCGTGGTGGAATTTTATAGGCCTGCAAGTTTCGACTCTGTTACCACCGTGTCACACAACTGGACTGTGTGGAACTGTACATCTCTACTCTTCCAGACATCTATCCGGGTGTTGGTTTGGCTGCTAGGTTTGCTCTACTTCAGCTCCTTACCCTTAGGGATCTACTTACTGGTGTCTAAGAAAGTCACCCTTGGGGTCGTCTTTGTCAGCCTTGTCCCTTCGAGCCTTGTTATTCTCATGGTGTATGGGTTTTGCCAGTGCGTTTGTCACGAATTTCTAGACTGTATGGCACCTTCTTCTTAATTAATATGCAGACTAAGAAATTTGACACACATTGCCATCCTTGAAGTTAGGTAATTTATCATTTATTTATTTTATATTCTCCGTGACTAGTGTCCATGACATTAACAAAGCCATTAGCCAAATGTTTGTGGTCTGTTTTTCATCAAAATTTTGACTCAATTGGTTTTCCTGTATGCTGGACATAAAAAAATGTTCCTTTCTACTTAGGTGTTAGCAAAGATGCAAAAATGTGTAAGCTAAGCCTTCACAGAGCTCTTCTTGTGAGTCTGCCCACAGAAAGGGTGGGATTTCACTTAACCCTGCTGGACAGGCACCAGGGGAGAGGTGTGTTAGGCTGTAGTAGGGGTCTTTGTGGCAGGTTACGGATGAACTGGTTCCTCTAATCCTCGATAATCTATGATGGAGGGTGGACACAAGAGGAAAGCTGTTCCAAGACACATCTACTTGAAAAATGTGACCTGTCCCTGCCCTGCTCCCCCTCCCACATCCCCCTCCCACATCTCTCTCCCACACACCTTCTGCACCCCCTTCCTGCACCCCCTCATGCCCCCCTTCTGCACCCTCCTCCCGCATCCCCCTCCCGCACCCCCTTCCCACACCCCCTTCCCACACCACGGTCCTCCACCCCCCTTCCACATACCTCCCACACCCCCTCCAGCACCCCCTCACACCCCCGTCCTGCACCCCCCTCCCTGCACCCCTTCCCAACTGCTCCCGGACCCCCCTCATGCCCCTGTCCTCCACCCCCCTCCCACAGCCCCCTCCCTCACCCCTCACACCCCCATCCTCCACCCCCTCCCACATCCCCCTCCCACACCCTCTCACACCCCCATTCTGCACCCCCCTCCCCGCACCCCTTCCCACACTGCTCCCGCACCCCCTCCCACACCCCGTTGTTGGCTGTGCCCTGAATCCTCTTCAGGTGTTCTCTTGCAAGTTAAGGCCACTGTCTGTGGTCTGGGGCTCCAGTGAGGTGCTGCTTCCTTCTGACATGCTCCTTTGCCAAGAGGAAACTCGGCCTCGAGCCCTTGTGTGGTTTTAATTAAATACCTGTTTTGCCACATTTCTAAAGAGAATTAAACATACTGTGGAATTTGCGTCAAAGCAAACTTCATGACAGAATATGGCTACTTGTCTTTGAGCCCCTTTCCTCCATATTTATTTTCTTCTCCCTCTTCTCTGAAATTCTCATAGAGCAGTTACAGTTCATGGAAATCTGCATTTGAGTCTTGCCCTCAAACAGTTGAGTTGAGTTTTATTAACCACCTTGTTCAACAAGTCCCACCCCTTATCCTGGATGAGGTTCTACTTCAATTAGTTGTTAGAGGCATATGAGGATTTCCACGACCACCCCCCCCCCATTGTATTTCAAATTCTACTAGGGACTTATTTAACTTAATCCTATAACAGTTTGGGGTAAATTGTGGCAGTGGAAACCCAGAAATAATTATTGAGATGTTCTAGCTCACAGATTGAAGTGCTGAGAACCCAAGCATTCTCGCTGTACTGTGCTGGATTATACCAGAACATAATGGTTTAGGCTTCTGTGCAAAATGGGGTTGCACTTGGCCAAAGCGATGGGCAGGGAACACACAGAGCCGCTGAGAGGACCCTTCAGGGCAGTCAGATGGAGGTGACAGAGCTCAACTTGACATGTTGCTCTTCCTCTTGTTTTAAAGTCCATTTTAGCATGGAGTCACGTTCTTACATAATTTATTTCAAATAAAAGCCTAAGCTGTGTGACTTGAGTTAATGAACTCCTTTTCATGACGTGGGAGAAGTTGAATGTATATATTTAGGAGAAGAAATTGTTTAGCAGATTTTAGGTTTGAGGGAATAGAATGTCCACAGAAACTGGGCCAAAAAAAAAAAGCTTTTCAGTTCTTAAAACCCATTACTGACGATTAACATTAAAATATTTATTATCATTAGAAAAGGGCATTACTAAGATGACTTCGACCTGTTTGTGATGAAACATTTATTGTGTGACACAGTTGCAGTGGGCCAGTCCAATTTCTTTATTCAGGAAGAATTGACACTTATTTTTAGAATAGTAGTTTGATTTTAATCTTCTAACTCGTGACTTTGAGAATATGTACGCCCAAGGCGAGTACGATGGGAAACCATACTGGGGTGTGGTCCAATGGATTGAAGCCCCAAGTTATAACTAAATACATTTATAATTTCATAAAATCTAGGTTAGATAGCATTGTGAATGCAGTTCCCAAAAATCTGTTTGTACTTAGAGTAAACATAATGTTTAGGAGGTGTTTTGTGGTTTGGATTTATATATTTATAAGGTTTTTAAAAAATGTTCATTTTGTCTGACATGTAACATCAAATAAATTGGTGAGTTATATGATGAGATTTCTAGAAAGCTCTGGATGTGGGTACTGTGTATTTTGCTTATTTGTATAATGTCTGCAGTGCTAAATTTGTGTTTCTTTGTATATTGTGATAGTCTTTTTTTTTTTAGTCGCCAGTAAATTAATTTGGTTTTAAAGAGTTTTAAATGTAAAGCAAAAAAACCCTCTTTATGCTGTTGAATGAAAACAGGACACTGCTTCAATATTTTATTCACTGTGATAATATTTGGTTTGTCCATTAAATTATTGTTTTGACACCAGAAGTTTGATTTCTCTGACTCATGGTTGAGATTCAGTTATTACTTTGGATTTCTGTTAATGTTAGATAATTGCAAACGTGAACTTTTCAGAAACTCTGGTGAAGCTAGTGCCTTTAGCAGACACATGAAGATTTCAGAACTTTCTGACAAAGTTGATCTAACTGGTCCCGCCTCTGAAAGGCCTTACACTTAAAAACAAGACCAAACCAAACCGAAAACAAAATGGGAGGGAATTTGGGAAGATGAAACAAAACCATTGTCTTTATCTTTATAAATAAAGTTTTTGGTTTTAATTTGTTTGATTTATTTTCCAGAATCTGCCTAGGTATTCAGCAAAAACGGTGTCCATTTTAGATGGGGAATCACTAGCCTTCTGTGATCTGGGCAAATTTTTATAATTACCCGATCTTTAAATATGACCATTGTTAGGCAAAGTAGACATCACTTGGGAGTATGTAATGGTTACATGTTTATGATAATTAGTGAGTTGGCACCACATGTTAATCAAGAGTAATGGTTTTCACTCACTTCTGAAATCTTTGCATAAATGAGCAAGGAATGTGGTTAAGGAAAGGCATTACCTGCACTAGTCATAACTTTGATGAGTCATGATTACCTGCTGAGAGAGACACAAGTGATGAGCATGTGCTTAGTTGTAAACAGACACCGTGACTTTGAGGAAATGTTCTAATATGTCATCCCAGTAGATGCAGATGCCAAAGGAAATCCTGTATTGATAGGGAAAGTGATACCACAGTATAAGGACCACCTCTGTGAGTCCTAGAGTACAGAAGGTGTGAAAAAGACTTAACCTGAATGGAATGAGGGCGAACCACAGTTCTCTGCGTTTCTACATTTTTTGAGACTTGTTCTTTTTTTCACTCTTCTTGGCAAAAAGCAAATACCTGCCTTAACTCCTTAGAAACACCACAGAAACACCACTTACTATTCCAGAGCTTTCCTTAAAACCAATGGAAGGCTTGGGTACAGGTAAGATCTCTGAAAAAGTTTCACCATTGGCCCTTGAAACTTGAGTCGTGTGTATTTTCCACATCTCTGCCCATTAGATGTTTACTTCTCAGCCTCTTACCAATTTATGAATTTTTACTCTTCTGTGGGGAGCTAGAGGCTTAGTATTGGGTCTACCCTGACAGGTTTACTTTTGTGTAAAAGATTTTTTTTTTTTTAAATGTATGCAGATAACTGGATGTTGAAGTTTGTATAAATTCCAAGTGAGTCCTAGAGGCAATGCAGATGCAACTCAGTTGCTTATGTCATGTAAATTTGTGGCATAGTCCAAATCTCAAGTATGCTCAGTACACAGATATTTATGGTTTTTGACCTGAAGGTGCTTTAAATTTAGGAATTAAAAAAAAATCAGAAGTTAAATTATGCCCTGCCCATTGTGTATACTGAGTATACTGGACTGTGTGGTAATGTATTTTTAGAAGTGGTTGAAGCTTGATTTAATGAAGACATTCACTTACCTGGAACACTCTACAAGCATTTTTAATCAGCCAGGAGTTTATTAGATTTGCATCATATTAACATTTTCCCTTTAAACCGAGATGGTGGGAAGTTTATAAGAGGGAAGAATGTGCTGTGACTTCATAGGTCATTTCAGATCTTGGTTTTCCTATGAAGTTCAGTGTTTTAGGTAAGAAAGTTTTTTGGTTTTTGTTTTGTTTTGTTTTGTTTTGGCAGTGTTCAGATCCATTTACCTCTGTACTCAGATCAGTGGTCTGGCCAGAATGCCTACGTTTGAGAGTCTTTCGTGTTTTTTTTTTTTTTTTTTTTTTTAAGATTTTTATTTTATTTATTTGACAGAGAGAGACACAGCGAGAGAGGGAACACAAGCAGAGGGAGTGGGAGAGGGAGAAGCAGGCTTCCCGCCGAGCAGGGAGCCCGATGCGGGGCTCGATCCCAGGACCCTGGGATCATGATCCGAGCCGAAGGCAGACGCTTAACGACTGAGCCACCCAGGCGCCCCTCTTTCGTGTTTCAATAGCAAACGGAAGCGAGTGGGAGAGAGCGGAGGGTCAAGGTTGAGCTCTTTGAATGATGAGTAGAGGAACCGGCAAAGGGACTGCATTGGTGCAGCCTGAGCCCCAGGAAAGAGAGCTGCAGACATTGGAGGACGTGTGCTCACAGGCGCCAAGAGCTAAGAGGTGGAATTAGCATGATTAGATGAACACAAACGGAAGCAGATGAAGATTACTTTATTGAAAAAAAAGGCTTGTCAAGCTTTTCTCATGAAGAAAAAGTCCAGAGAATCACATAATTATCACTGGTACACTCACCTCTTAGAGTGGGCACTTAACCTTTTGCCATATTGGTCCCCCCCCCAAAAATAAGAGACCTCCTCTAATTTGACTAAAATATTATGATATCTAAGACAAAAATACCTGTCTAATTGTTTAATATGCAGTCTTATTAAATTTTCCTAGTCCCAAAATATCTTCTATAGCTCAAAGCACAAAACACAAGCCAGGCACTAATCAAGATTCGCACACTGCATTTGGTTATTATGTATTTTACTCTCTTTTATGCCAGAACAGTCACCCCACTTTGTTTTCCTCGTGATGCTGACTGCTTGAAGAAACGAGACCCGTTATCTTGTACAATATCTCACATTCTGGGTGTCTGTTTCCTTATGGTGGTGAGGAAATGGTCAGAAATTCTTCTTTTATCACTTGATTTCCTGTAAACTGGAAGTTAGATAGAGGATTTTGATTGCATTCAGATTTAGGGCAAGAATTTTTCTTAGATGGTGCTCTGTACTTGTTACTGCACCACATTGGGAGGCATGATTGGAAGTCTGCGCCACTATTCGAAGTGCTGTCTGATCAGTCAATTAAGGTGGTGACATCCAGGCCTCTCATTTCCCCAGTCATCTGTGGGGGGATAATTGGACCTCATGCAAATATCATCTTCCTTGACAATTTCTACTTGATGCTC